GTGGGACTGCACCATCCCGCAGGCATTGGTATGTTTGGCCAGGCGGCTGTTGTTGCCGATCACTTGAACAACCTAACCCACAATTGTAAACGGTCCTCATCATCATCAGCACCTTTTTGAATAACACGATTGCGAACGTATTTGCCTGCCAAAGGCGCATTCACAGCTAGGTAGTAGCTACGTCTTGTGTCGCGTCGTGTTGATCAAATCGCACTGTGATTGGACATTAGTTTTTTGGTATCATGTAATAACCTAGTTGCAACCGAGTATACCAAGAATTGACTACGGCCACAGATATATATATAAAATAAACTATTAGAAAACCAGAATAATTTATTCTATATACCCGTAAGGCCGTTACTACTGCTCAACTTTTAAACCATATTGGTTACCTACCTAATACCTGCATCTACCTATAACCATAATATAGTTACCACACCCTCGCACTACACACAATGTGAATCTGCTATTCCGGATTAACTTTCATACAGCGTCGATTCGTTACCGAAAAGTGAAAAAAAAATAGTAGGTACCTACATAACATTATAGGTACTCTTAGTTTTTTCAAACTCTGAAAAAATGTTTACATTTTCACTAATATACTGGTATTACTCTGTCTCATTAATCAGTCTCTGCATTGTCTTACAAATTAATATTTAATAAATAATAATATTAGTTCTTTTCTGCATTCAGAAGCATGTGCCCATTAACTTTAAAATGTTCCATTTTAAACACTATAACACTAAACACTAGCTGCTATTACACTATTATAGGTACCTAGGCACCTACAGCTATTTTTGTACGGCTTATTCGAAAATAACGACTACAGGCAATGTTAATAAACCTACCTATAAGTAGTAGTTAATTACAGTAGAATATCGCCCTTAAAGCCGTAAACAGCGATATCGTATTCAATAAATTCATTGCTAAGTATTACAACGATATGAAAAATTAAAATAGACAACGTCGCTCGAATAATCGTTCGCCACTGTTTGAATAGGTACCTATAAGTATAATGCATAAAATATTATTTCTTTGATCTGTCGTCAATTGTTGGCAATCGAATTATTATTAGCCGACGGACGATTTTTGTTCGCGCTGTAGATCATTGGCGGACAGGGAATCCTGGACAAAGGCAGCCGACAGGAGCACAGTACATGTTCACGTTGATCGTCGGTCCCAGAACCGCGATGGACTTATTAGTAATTCCAATGTTTTTGTCCAGTGTCCATAAGTTTTTAAAAACATATTTGAATATTTCGATTGCAACCAGACCTATCAAATTTGCTGGTTCAAAAAATATCTATTATATTATATACAAACAAATCCATGATTTTATTAGATACTTTTAAATACCTAGTTAAACTTTCTACTAAAGTTTAGTCTCGAGTTTCTAAAAAATAATAATTAACAAAAATGTTTATTAATTCATTTTTAAAATCATTATTTTCTAAAAGAATTTCAGCTTTTTTAATAGGTACCTAAACATTGAAGTAGTCGCATCGAGTTCGGCAACAACATTTTTGATTTCTTGGAAGTTTTGGCAATAGTAATTAGCGGCATTCAACCAATTGCCCCATCTAGTTACAATATTGGTTGTGGAGGAAGGCTTAGATCTGGGTACATATTTTTAAATATTTCGACACTGCTAGGAGCTTTTAGAAATATCTTTTTGACTGAAGATATTAACTCGTCAACTTTCGTAAATTTTGATCTTGTACTTTTGGAAACATGGGAAAGTCTGTATTTATAAATAATAAATCTTAAATGAACAAATGTCGAAATATGTAAGAAAAATGGAATTATTGAGAAATATGTAAAAACATGTATTTATGGCAAAATATGTAAAAATAAGTAAAATAAAATAAAGTTAATTTCATTGGAACTCCCTTGAAACGAATTTATCACTTACCTAAATTAATTTATCAAGTCACAGTAAAAATATGTATTTATATATAAATCCGAGCCCTAATTATAATTATATGTAAGGCGAAGGAGCCTCCGCACATAGCAATGGCATAGCCCCACAAACCTGAAACCCTTATAAATACTTAAATAATGGTAAGAATTACAAGTAATTTCCGTTTATTAAAATCGTTAAACAGTTCAGTGTTCATGACCATGATTATTTTCGGTTTTGGTAGACGGAGTTTTGTCTCCCTATCTATAAAACATCTCAACTCCTGAAATATTGTGACGACTTTTTTCTTACACCTACTACCTAATAAAAACATTAGGTAGGTATTGCAAGTACATATTAGCTAATATACCAGTCACCAGTGTTAGTGATGCACGAACAGTTAAATCATTAAAACGATTAAAAGCTTAGATGAGTTCAACTATGTGCCAGGAACATTTGAATTTCAGTTTTTAAATATTCATAACGAAATATCTGTTTATAATAGATTAAGTATTCATAAATTAATACAAATATTATTGCGGGCAAATATATATATATATAGGTCGTTTTATTTACAAATTGCATCAACTTACTCTAAACTTAATAAATTTAAATAATACAAATTGATTTTTGTTCAACGTTTTTATTTAACATTAAGTTGAAAACAATTTTAAAATTTTATAATTTTTAAGTTCTGTTATAGTAATAGCGCATATTTTATTTGTATTTTTTTAGACGGTTTTCTTGTTACTTGGGACATAAAACTATAAGCCCTAATTATTAACATAATAAAATGTTATATTTCTAGTTTTTACAACTGAAATGTTACCATTCAAAATGTAATTAGTAATTGCATTATATATTTAAATCTATTTGTTACTTCAAACGTGACCACTGACCAATGACCATAGGGCATAGAGCAACAATGTCTATACCACACTCTATTGGTCTGTTTTTTAAATATATATTTAATTAAATTGATAAATATCCAACATAGATCACCTTGGGTTTCAGGTGATTTTTTTTATAAAATATTCTATTGTATTATTACAAAAAATTAACTGGCATGTAGACATATTACATACAGCACACTTATAATATTTACAGTATCATTATGATGTCAACTACAAAATATATTTTTTTTTTAATTCAATAAGAAACAAATTACAGTATTATAATTTATCGACTAAGGCCTACACCAAAATTTGAATGTAGGAGGCTGTTTCATTTTTCTTTTGTCAACATAAATCAAGTGTAGTTTGGTAAAAAGTAACAAGTATATTATTTGCATAACTACATTTAAGGAAATTACACTTAAACTCTAAAAGAAATATTTTTAGGTTTGTAGAATTAACCTCCATTAGGTTGGTTAATTTGAGTTGGATCTTCAAAAACAGGTGGTTGAGGTCTGAACTGTTCGGCTGACATGTGCATAAAAAATAATCCAAACCCTTCAATCATTGCCAATAGTAAACCTCCAAAAACAGCACTGGCCGTCATAGCTGGTATTCCATTACGTGCTGCTAATATACCACCAGTCAAAGCACCGCTAGCAATAGAATTCCATGGGTCTTCTTTTTTCCTGATGGCGACTAGTGAGCAATCAATGGTTGAAAATAATCCTCCCCATATAGCAAAACTACCACCTATGTTGGGTGCTTTAGTTGCCACAGAATGAAAAGCTCCCTAGAAAATACACAAATATGAACACAGTTAATAAACTGACTTAAGTAATAGAATTAAATTCTTATACATAAAAATAATATAAGACAAATCAGTTAATTAATAATTACTTAATATATAAATTTATTATCAAACATGTGCACCAAAAATATCAAGTTTGGCACTTGAAGTTTTTATTAGACTTTAAATGTCTGTATTGCTAGAAAAATTGTATTAATACAGTTAATATTGTTGTTATAGAAAGTTTAATAATTTAGTTATTTGATTGTTAGTTAGAGTTCACATCTTGCACGGATTAAATGTGTACATATATTGGTCTAAGAAAATTGTATCTATACTGTGTAGTATGTACAATAGATGCACAACAATTTACTTTGCTTTTAATTTTTTTTGGCCAAAGAAATATCTTTTTAAAGTAGATAAAATACTTCAATTTAAAATTTTGAGGCTGATTTCTAGTGGTAAATTGGGTCTAGTAGATACTTTAATGAATCAAAAAGAACAATTTATAGTGATCGGGTATTTTTTTTAATTTTAAGGAAAAATGAATATTTAAGAGAATGCAACACTAATTTTGTTATAATTTAAAATTAACAATTAAGACACTTTTTAAGCTATTTCATTTTTTATAAATGTTGATCAAAATATTTATGTTTGGTCAAAAGCTTGAAAGTTTAATATAAGGTGGTTAACCAAATGTTATTCTAACCGAAATTTAAAAAAAAATTATATCAACATTAATTTTGTAGGAATATTTTTAGTTGGAATTTTGACAAAAAATATTTTTTGTGGCTTTTTAGTTTTACACTTAACATTTGAACTAGAGTTTATCAATATTGAATATTAATAATTATCAATAGTTTTTTTTTATAATATACTATACAAAGTTTAATGGATACTATTATCATTTCTTAATGTTGTATAATACAATAATCTTGAAATTCTAATTACAAAGTACATTCTATTATTCATTATTTGTATTTATAATACAAGTGTGTCACTAACAAAATATGATCAGTTTTATTTTGCCTGAATTTTGTTTCTAAATCTTATATAATATTTATAATTGGCTAGAATTTCAAATCTGAAATTCAAATACCTGACTTGAATCTTAAATGTAACAAATTTTAAGTTTGTTACAAATGTAACAAACATCTGTCAATACTTACTTACTTTATAATATTATATACATATTTTTTAAATATATTAATGTGAAAAATAAACTTAATTTTTAAATCATAATACATTTGTACAAATGTGTGTCACTTCTAACATTTTCTAATTCTTAATAATAATTTTAACCTATTAATTGCTAAAATAAAAAATATTGAACTTACATTAAAACGTCTGTTAACTCCTGTGGGTGCATTACGGAAGCCTTTTATACCTTGAAAAATACCACCACCAATAAGACCCATGGCAAAAGCTCCACCAAGATCTTCTAATATTCTCATTGGACATGGTTCCCTTCCAAATTCTTCCATGGTATTTTTATTGCTGTACTAGTTTTTTAGATATCTGAAATTCTAAATGCACATGGTATTTATTATTAAAATATCAATGAAAATAAAATCCTAATCATTTTTAAATTGTTGAATAATTGTTGGCAGGCTTTTAAAACAAAGTGATTATTCTTAAACCTAGTTATCACAAATATCTATGTTATTGTAATATTATTTGTAATATCCTTAAGTCAGATTTTGTAATCAATTTTGTAAACCATTTTCTTGATAATTGTATTTATTTATTTATTTTTAGTAACAATTTTAATAAGTCTCTTGATAATAATAGGTACAGAATTGAATAGTAATTAGTAAAAATGATACTTAAGAGGACGTGATACCCGCATGTGTTCTCTCCGTCTTACAAGTGCGTAACATAGCAAATTGTACACTCAGCAGAACACGTGTAGCTCCGTTAATTTAAAAATCAAAATGAATTGATCTCTTATAAAAGCTAAAGGTAAGATTATTATCTGGGCAACCTCATAGGCTTTTTATTATATTTTTATTTTAAAGCGAGTTATAAGTATTTTAAGATGTATAAAAAATTTACAATTTTAAAATACTCATAACTCGCATTAAAATATAATAAAAAACCTATGAGGTTGCCTAGATAATAATCTTACCTTCAGATTTTATAAGAGGTAAATTCGCACTAATTTTTAAACTAACGAAGCCACACGTGTTCTGCTGAGCGTAAAATTTTCTATGTTACGCACTTGTAAGACAGAGACAACACATGCAGGTATCACGTCCTCTTAAGTATTGAACGTGCAAACATCAAATACCAGTTGTTGTTTTTATAGGTACATATACAAATTTTATAATATTTCAACATTTTATTAAGTAGCATTATTACCTACTAAATAAATAATAGTATACAAAAATTTTTTTTTCAAAATGTAAATAATTAGGTTGAAGATTCATTCTCTTTCAGGCGATTCAAGTCTTGGTCTTTTGTTGAATACTTCTGTTTTATTTTGTACACTATGATTGTATTTATATTTGTTGGATAGTTTTAAAATCACTTTTGTATTGTCTTTAACGTTTTCCTTTTGCGTCCTAGGAGTCCAATTGTTTTCAGTTAAAATATCATAAATCTCTTTAACTGTTTGATTAACTATTACATTAAAATATAATTTTTCTGGATTTAAGAATCTCACAATTTCTCTTAATTCTTTACAACTGGGATGGCTTGAATAACAAACTCTGGTTATGTTATTTTTAATAATTACATAACCACCTGTGTCTATCACGTCCTTAGTAAATGCTAACGCATTAAGCTGTACACATTTTACATTTTTATTTAATTTCATGCAGTTAATGCTGTCAGTGTCACACTCATTTTTTGAACATGCGTGTATTCTATTATTAGTAAAAATTGGAGTAACATAATTGTCTAAATCTGCTATTGAACTGTACAATTCTTCATATTTTTGTTTATGCACATGAATAGCACATTTAAAATGTTTGGCTACTTCAACTATGGCATATTCTATGCCCACATATCCAGGCATCCACAAACAAATTTTATTGTTAGGATCTTGGTTTAACCATTCTTCAACTACTTTTATCAAGTTAGCACTACTTTCCTTCCTCATTGGAAATTCATAATATTTTTTAGATGCAAAAGTAGTATCTAAATACAATGCAGATATATTCTTTACACCACAGTTACCTTCTTTATCCATCAATAGTGGTTTAAATTGTTTGAAATCTTGTAATTGTACTCGGAAATCGCCAGTATATAAAATACAATGTGGACCAGCTTCAATCAAAAACATGACTGATCCTGGACAATGTCCAGCCGGTAATAGGGTCACGCAAATGTATTCAAAATTTTCTGAATGCACTTTTAACAAATTAGGGAAACCAATTTCTAGAGATATAAGCTTATCTTCTCTGAGATTAATGGTTTTATTTCGCTTTAAATATGTTATTGTCAATGGCGATGCATAAAGCATCATGTTATTCTTAATATCATTGAATGCCATTTGAAAAGTTTGATCTTGAATACCACGCATGTGATCTTTATGAAAATGGGACAACATAAAAGTTGAACAACTTAGTAGATGTGACTCAAAAGAATCAATTCCAATGAATGCTAATTCCTTTTCTTCTAGTTTTCCACAAAAGGTAGACATTTTCCTGGAATAACAAAATATTTAAGAAAACCCAAGAAATTATAACACTTCTGTTTCAATTCACTATTTAGTAGTTACATAAAAAAAATACATCATTTATAATCAATTGATAAATTAATACTCGATTTCAGGCATAAGTAATTCTTAAATTATTTACTGTCCATATAATCTTCATTCACTTTTTTATACGTTTAACTAGTATCATTTTTCATTTTTCATAACTTTCTATTACACCCTACATATGATAAATAAGTTTAAATCAATATATTTTAAAAATACTAACAAGTTTTATATAGTATATAGTTTAACAAAACACTAGCCAACACCCCTTAAGAATGCTGGATGAGGACATAGCTTGAGAAACAACTCATTTAAAATTATATTAAACCAATATCAGCAAATAGGTATGTAACCTTTGTAATCATTGAATTACCACAGAATGACTGAATAATGAATACTTATATTATATTTGTTTTTGGTACAATCTTTGATCATACTGGTAGTTATACTCAATGGTACAATAATACAAATGTATACGGCTTAACTTCATATAAAAAAGTACACGTAACTAGTAATATTAATATTTGACTTACGGTTAGAATGTTAGATAAGCTTTATTGCAAATTTCGTAAACCTATCACAAGGTTGATTTGGTATTACAATTTGTAGTTGAACGGCGAACGTTGAAACACGAAGAGAACCCTTTATATTTTCTATTCTGTCTATTGTGTTTAATATTTTATCATTTATGATTTATCAATGATATTGAGGTTTGATGGTTAGGTTAAAAATTAATATTAATCAAGCGGCTACAATTTCAAAGAGGTTGTAAGAAAGAAATAGTTCCCGCCATGAACTTAAAATTATGAGGTAAAATAATATAAAAACTTATTCGAAAGTGACCTGAAGTATTCACTTGTTTAATATTTTATACACAATCAGTTAGAAATGAGGACAACCTATATGTTCTGAAAAATTCAAAATGCTTCGTACCAATTATTAGTTATTAAATGTAAATCAATATAAGATGTTGATGTTGCATTTAATTCCCAATCAGTTAAAACTAGAATTTACAAATAAAAATTAGTTACGCCGAAGTGCAAGTCCGAATAAAATCAGTGAGTTACCGAGTTTAACTGGATGGGCTGGATTATATTTTTATAATTTTTGTTATCATCTTACTTGTTCTAACCTAATTTAATGGGTTTTGAGCAAGTGACAAAAGTTCTAAATCTCGGTGGGCCGATACTTAGCCTATCAGGCTCTGCTTAAGTGTGTTTGCAGAGTAAGCTTAATTTTTACGTATTGTTACAGTATTTATTAATAAGGAAATAAAATAAAATAAATAACTTTGCATTGTCTTTTTTTTTGTTCTAGTTGTACAACATGTTTTCTGTTAGTATTATAATTTGTTACTATAAGTGAAAATTTAATAAAACTTACAAACATTTATAATATACATGTTTGAAAAATTATTTATTTAATTTATATATATATATATAATATCAAATAGTAATGTATTTCAAAATAAAATAGAACAATGTAAGTATGATACTAAAAATTATTCAATGTTTTATTTCATATACTAAATTATTTTAAGTATGTAATATTGTAATATGTATTTGTTTTTATGTGGTAATGTTAAATAATAATTTTAACCTATTTTTAAAATGGATGTGTTAAATGTTAAAATGTACTGTTATGTACCAATAAGAAAAGTTTGAAAAAAGTTTATGATTGTTTACTGTTAAAAAAATCACTTGAAACACATATTTTTAATTTAGCAATGGTTGCCTAATGGCTTAATGAAATAATGAATTGGAAGATTATACTGTTTCTTGCTTACATTACATCAACAACTTTTACTATTTTATGATATCATCGATATTTAATTTTTGCGTTCAATCTCAGTTGTAAATAAAAAATTTTTACAACTATGCACACAATTAAACTTTATATTCATGATAAACCTACTGTATTTTTACAACACAAAGAAGGAAATTACATTTTAAAAAAAATACAACTAACATTAACACTGAAAATTGTTTAATCATTGTAATTCAAAATAAGATAACTGAACAATTAAACATTAATTGGTAACAAGTATTTAACATGATCTAATAGTAAATTAATTTATATAAACTTCAATATTGTTTTAAATAACAAACCCAAAATGTAAAACATAGTCAATAAAAATACAATCAAACTTTAAAACTCTATTTTACTGAAAACGACCATCAAAATAATTATACTTATCAGGGTATTCAATATTTGAATACATAATTATGTACCGTCCAGTTCTAGCAGATGGAAAATCGGTGTGAAACATTGTTAAAACATTTTTGTATTTTCCTTTAGTCAAAAATTCATGTAGGGTGTTTGATAGTACCTCAAACATAACTATGTGTGTTGGTAATTTGTTATTACTTTCAGCTGAATAATACTCATCAAGCCACTTCTTTGGATTTTCATAAAATACATCAGCTTCATCAGTATAATTTGAAATGTTGTTTAGGTTTGGCTCACATGTTAAAATCTTTGCATATACATTCAAATGCAGATGACTATAAAGTGGAGTTGAGTGGCATGGCATGAGAAATAATAATGTTGAATTTTGGGGTATCTTAGCTAAATATGGCATAACTCTAGTAGACCCTATTTGATGATACCTTCCTAAATAAATTAATACTATGATATTTAATATGACTGATAGAGTTCCTAATTTCATAAACTTTTTACAAACTATAGAAATTTGTTGAGATGTAATAAAGAATATCATAGGAACTAATGGTAGTAGAAATCTTTGTTCTTTATGAGCAACCATACTTAAGACTGACAACGACCAAAATACTGTGACTACTAACTTGGAATCAGTATCATAAAGATTGATATGTCTTATTTTTTTGATCAGACAGTAAATGAATATAAAAAATATAGGTCCCAACACTGGTGGTAATCCACTGACAAAGTACCAATACCAATTTTCAACAGAATAATGAGCATTGACTTTTTTTATAATATTATAATACAAAAAATTCCACTGTGTAACAACAAAAGAACCGTGAAAGTATGAATCCAATGTTATAGAAAATATAAATGATGTTAAACCAATACAAATATACCTTGCTAGGTTATTTAGAGTATAACGTTTATGTGCAAGAAAATCAAATACAATTAATGGTAGCCACACAATTATTGCTGTTGGGCGCATAACACAAACAAGAGCAACTAACCATAAAAATTTGACATCTTTATTCTTCAATGACCAAGGGTAATAATACAAGGCAATTGTTGTCAAGTTGGTTTCCAATGTGTTGACTAAGGTACGCGTCGAACAATATGCCAAAAAAGGACTTGACATATAACAAAGAACTGGCCAAAATATATTTGAACATTTAGAGTGTTTTTGTATCCAGGACACGAAACAATAATCCGAAAATGATGAAAAAAGTGTTTGTAGAAAGCGCGGACTCCATATTAAAAGTTGTAATGTGTCCAGGGAGAAAAATTTTAAAATCTTATATAATATTACAATCCACGAAACAGAAATATAACTTCTTATACCAACAATCCATTCCCAAGTGCGATATCCAAAATCAAAAGTAATATAATGAGCTATCTCCAAAGACTGCCAGTATTCATCTGGGACATACCATGAGCGAATTATATACAGATGGAACAATCTTATAGTCAATAATAATGTACTAACAGTCAACAATGTTGGATATTTCATGTTTCAATAATGTACAGGTTGCATACTTATGTAACTTCTTAAATTTCTTCTTTCTTTTTTGATTATCAATCTGAAAAATACATATAAGTAATTTAGAAATCAATAATTATGACATAGATAAGTTAAAGGCTATTTTACTTTAATATTTTACAGACTTAAGACAATCTGTCTTCAAAAAGATGCAAAATTAAATGTAACTATTTCAAAGGTTGTTATATTTTAATCAAATACTTGTTTGAAATTTAACTTAAAAATGATTAAGCTGGCTAAGATTTTATAAAATGATTTATTATTATATTACATATAATACATTTAACCATTAGAATTCAATAGAAAAAATTAAGTGTAAAATAACATAAATATTAATCAATAATAATCAATTTACAATATTAAAATGATTTTTTTAAATTAATATTATATTCCTATTAATGTTTAATAAAATATATACCTTCAAGAAGTTCCAGGTAAGACTAAAACTCAAGTCGTTTAAATATTAAGTGTCTGGTTAAGATTTTATGTCCTCAATATATCAATTACATAAAAATAATAAACAAACAAACGCTTCATATAAATTGCATTAACAATAAATGAAAACTTTTAAGATATTTAAGGAGACTTCTATCAGTGGTTTTATAAATTATAATTATTCAATAGGTACTCGCATAGTAGCATCTTGCATTTAGCAATGTTCATGGTTTAGTACTTCTTTATCTGTATTAGATCATTAGTATTTAGCACTTCTGTTGCCTTTAAGTATGTAAATAGTAAATACCACGACTAATTGTGGTAAATACTAAATTGTAATGCTGTTGACTGTTGTAGCGTTGTAGTATGGACGACGAATGGCGATAGCAAGACGTAGCAACTAGCAACTAACAATTCAAAATCTTATCTTATCTAATGTTTACTTCACAATGTAGAGAAATATGGGGTGACACAACTGTAGCTATGTACTACTAATACCACAGAAAAATACTTCGATATTTTATTATTACTACCACAGAATAACGAATCAATAGTGAGCTGAAGGTCCTTTAACCATGATTGGTCCATTAAATTGTATTGTACCATTAAATTCATACATTTTTCATGCAACCCGGCATAAGGTTTATGGAAATTTCACAATTTTACATGTCATTTATTACGAAAATCAACTACACAACGATATTTGATTGTTCTATGGTGCATTGGTGCTACAACTGATATCCATCCGCCTTGGATAATAGATAACTCCAATCAATTTATCAATAACATTATTATCAATTTTCACGTGGTTTTGGAAACAACAATATTATTCATAATTTAGTATTTGACATGACAATTTGAATTTGTCATGGTATTTACTATTTAATATTAATAGTTATTAATGAGCAATTTTGAATTTTTGAATTTATCGACAACGAAGGCTTAAAGGATTTTTGAGTTTCGTAGTTTTTAATTATTTCTTTATTCAAGTGAGTTTATGCGTTAAACGTGGTACCTAAGTAAATACTAATTATTGTTTATAATGTGCATTTTCATATGAATGCAGGTTGGAAAATGGACGAAGAAACGTTAATTGGCTTTAATGATATAGCCGAATTAAAACCAGAGGTCAAACAAAAAACTGGCAAAAGATCGGGAGGTTTCCAAGCTATGGGATTGAGTTTTCCTGTACTGAAAGGAGTTCTCAAAAGGGGTTACAAAGTTCCCACTCCTATACAGAGAAAAGTAAGGCGATATCTAACACTATGTTATTCTTGACATTGTTTAATTGTGTTTTTTTATTTTTGCAATTATTTTTTCTCTTTCAGACAATCCCTATTGCTTTGGAAAACCGTGATGTTGTAGCTATGGCTCGTACTGGTAGTGGAAAAACCGCTTGTTTTTTGATACCAATGTTTGAAAAATTGACTCAGCACACTGTAAATGGTCATAGAGGCATCCGTGCTTTAATTTTATCGCCAACTCGAGAACTTGCTGTTCAGGTAATATCTTATGGGATTATAAATGTTATTTCTAAAAAATATGTTATACTGCTATAAACTTAGCAATTCATTTATAGTCTTATGTGTGGATTTTATGTTCTATTGGACAGGATCAGAAGCTATTAGGGTTAGCTTGATAGTTCATTAGCCTAATTTAAAACAAGTATTATGTTGTTATGATTGATGAGAAGCATTGTTCCATTGATGCTTAAATATTTACAATTGATCAATGTTGTATATTGAGTATCTACTTAATGTTTATTAAATTAATTAGAAACTACTACTAACATTACCCTCAGTTGCCAGAAATTGAATTAATAAACTAATAAATTAAAAAAATTAATTAATCCAATAATACATTTGGCTAAGGACCTATATTAATATTATGTTTCTTAATAAATTATGACTAATCCAACTATCTAAGTGCTGCAATCTGTAGGATAGTTCTTGTAAGTTCAAAGTATATTTATGATGTATTTGTTTGATAAAAAAAAAACAAAACGTAATTTAAATTATCATTTAGAGAAGTATTATTTATACTGTAAATTTAATTTGATTTCAGACATTGAAGTTTTTAAAAGAAATAGGAAAGTTTACTAATTTGAAATCGGCTGTGATATTAGGAGGAGATCCAATGGAAGCTCAATTTAGCACAATGCATAGTGCTCCAGATATTGTTGTAGCAACTCCAGGTCGTTTTTTGCATTTATGTGTAGAAATGTCTTTGAAGTTACCATACATTCAATACGTTGTTTTTGATGAAGCAGATAGGTAAGTTTATTTGCAATAAAATTAATTTACTATATTATAACCAATATAATGTTGTTTTTTAGGCTTTTCGAAATGGGTTTTGGTGAACAATTAACAGAAATTATTGCTCGTCTACCAGAGACTCGACAAACTTTACTTTTTTCAGCCACTTTGCCAAAAGTTTTAGTTCAATTTGCTCGAGCAGGTCTTTCTGATCCCGTTCTTATAAGGTTAGATCTAACATTAGTGTAATTAAGTAGTGTTATATTAGTACTATTCATTTAGTGTTCTTAGAGTAATTTTGATGAAAATATAATTTTATTTGACCCTCTGATCTTTTTAATGTAGTTTGTATTAGGTTTCTTAAATGTAACTGTTGACTATTTTAAACTTTAGATTGGATGTGGAGTCAAAAATACCTGATACACTAGGATTAGGATTTCTGAATGTACGACCTGAAGAACGGGATGGTGCTCTATTATGTCTCCTGAAGTATGTTGTCAAACCAGATTCTATGACTATAATTTTTGCTCCAACTAAACATCATGTTGATTTTATTCATTTAGTAAGTTCTCTTGAAAACTTCAATATACATTTTGTATTTTTTATTTATTGGATATTACAAAACATGTCTTATGCAGTATATTTTTATAAATTAAAACATATTTCATAAATTGGATTTTATGTTCATTTTATTTTAGCTTCTGGATTTTCAAGATATATCAAATACATTCATATATTCTGATTTGGATCCAACGGCTAGAAAAATAAATGCTAGTAAATTTCAAACAGGTAGTGTGAAAACTCTCATAACAACTGACATAGCCGCACGTGGTATTGATATTCCACAGTTGGATGTAGTTATCAACTACACATTTCCAGCAAAATCTAAATTGTTTGTGCACAGAGTTGGTAAGTAAATACCTATTAGATATAATTAAAGACCAGATTTTGCATAAAATGCATGTTGTTATTTTCAACTTCATATACATGAGTATCCACATATCAAATATCAAAATTGTATAGTGCATTTTTTTTTTTGCATGTTCTACACAATATTGTATATTTTAACAAAAAACCGTATTAATTTAAACCTAACCATCCAAAAAGGTGTTGAGTAAAAAAAAAAGCAGATTATATGTACATTTCTATAATATTAATATCAAATATTTTACATCTCAAAGAATATTCAGACGCTAAAAATAGGTTAGATTATTGTTTTTCCAATTAACATATTACATGACATTTTTCGTACTTTTTTTCTATTTATATCTGTATATCACCAATGTATCTACTATTTAATTTTAATAAAATATTTTTTACAATATATCAATGATTGAAAACTAAATTACATTATTGTATTACATATTTGTTATATATTATACATCTTACGTTTTGTTTATGAATATTTTAATAAAACTAATAAATAATTATCACTGCAAAATCAAAATCAAATATAAAATGTGATAAAAATTGAAATTTTATTTTGTATGTTTCGCATATTTTTCTTGCATATTTTGACTTTTTTGGTGCATTTTTGCATGCATATTTTAAAATTTTAAATGCATATAAATCTGGTTTTTAGATATAATGTCTATGTATTTTTTATCATACCTAACATTTTCTATTATAATTCTATAGGACGGTGTGCTCGAGCTGGAAAAATTGGTCAAGCTTATAGTTTAGTAACACGTGACGAAATGTGTTACTTATTAGATCTACATTTGTTCTTGGGCCGTCCATTTAGCCCTGTGCTCGAAACACCAAAGTCTGATGATGATACTGATGGTCTTTTTGGTATTGTACCTCAGTTATTGTTAGAAGAAGAACTAGGACAGTTGACAAGTTGGTATACATCATCCATTGATGTGGTAAGTTAAATGTTTTGCATATTCAATCAAAGAACATATTATTTTTTTTATTGTTAGATTATAAAATATTTCATGTATTATTCTAGATTAACTCTCTGAAAACTTGTACAAATGGTTATAAAAACTATATCAAGTCTAGACCCGGAGCATCAGTTGATAGTGTTCGTAGAGCTAAGAAAATTAACTTATCAGTCATTGCAGAGCATCCAATGTTTCAGAAAATAATTGCAGCAGACATGGGACGTATTGATTTTGTTAGCCGTATTAAAAACTTTAGACCAGAAACCGTAAGTTATTGTTTGCAAGTTATAATACACATTAAGAGAGAATAATTTATAATAGCTAAAATTTGCTACTTTAAAAAAAACAAATAAATTTTCTCTAATTTGCATTTATTTAAATGATTGTAAAAATGTGTTAAATATCTAAATAGTAATAATATTGTGTTGACCTATTTACTTGCTCCATTTGATCTATGTTTTGTAAATTATCATTGTGTTTAATTTTTAATAGCTTATTTAAGATTTGTAATGATACAGAAAGAGTTTTTATTTTTTATAATAAAATCTAAGTAGATCATTTATTTTTACAAGATAGTGTTATCATCAAAAATTTAACCAAAATTAATTTATTAATTTATTCTATTATTCGCTTTTACCAACGCACATTCCAAGTATTTTATGCTACTTATAAATTAATATAAACAATAATCAAATAACTTTAAACTGAATTAAATTTCAATAGTTAAAAGTTATAATACTAATATAATATTATTTTGTAGACAGTTTTTGAAATGGGTCAGTCTACAAACTCAATACCATTACTTCAGATGAAATTGTTAAGAGAACGAAATATGCCCAGCGTTATTAACTATCATCGGAAAAAGCGTGAACAACTCAATGATTCTGAAGGGGTGCGGTTGAAAAAAGTTGATTTGCCATCGAGTGATCAAACTGAGATTAGTGAAACTTTTAACGACATCATCACACAAAGACCTCGTGTAACCGGTCAAAAAAAGAGAAAAAATCTAAAAAAAACAAAACAACCAAAACAACCAAAACAAGCAGTTAAGTCTGAACATTTTATACCATACCAACCAGCTGATTGTTACACAGAAGAGGGGTAAGTACATGAAAAAATATGTATTTTGAAATCATGTTAAACATGTAGTCTTACACATTGTGTTCTTTCAGTTTGGCTGTTGATAATTTGAAATCAAGTGATGGAATATTAGATTTGATGGGCGATTCGGAACAATCATTAGCTAAACAACATTCAAATAAACGTAAATGGGACCCAGTGAGTCATAAATACGTAACTGCACAGAGTCTTGAAAAAAATCAAGTGAAAAAAATTAAATCTGAGTCTGGTCATTGGATACCAATTACATATAAGAGTGATAGGTATGAAAAATGGCAGGAGAAATCAAAACTGAAGAACTCTGCGGCTGAAGGAAATGATGAAGAAGAACAAAAGAAAATAGCTCCTTGTAAGTACAATATAAAATAATATGTAATATTATTGGGAGTCATAATCATAAAATTAATAACAATAACTATTCCTATCAGTTCCCTATATTACTCTTTGTTATTGATGTTGCCAGACAAATAATGGCCCATAATCTCTTTAGAAAACTATATAAAGATACTCTGGCTATAGACATCTTTAAAATTCAACATATTTTTATGATTTTATTGTATAAATTAACAACACTAATTCTGTAAACTTTGTTTTTTGTTCTTTTAGTGTTCAGGTTTAAATTAGATACTCGTTGGGGACGTCATAATGCTAAATTGAGGGAACAGCAATCTGAACACCGTCTGAAATTGGACACAAAACACATACTGAAACAGAGAATAATTAAAGATCACCGTAGAAAGAAGAATGGCAGGAAACCAGTTAAAAAGGATAAGATTCGCAAGAAGAGTGCCAAGTTTAATAAAATTTAATTTTGTAAAATCATTGTTGATATATAATAACGTATTATTATAACCAAATTGAATATTAATAATTTAAGTTATAGTAAACAAATTGTCATTTCAAACTTTCATGACCTGCCGTTATTACAACACTTTTTATGAATTTATACATTCATACATACATATATATTTTGTGTACATTCCTGATTAACTGTATGCATCTAAATAATTAAGTGTCTGGAAATAACTGTAGATTAGTGTTGGAGTGCCTAATTTATGTTTTTATTCCAATAAAATTATTATATTATTTTATATTATACATAACAATTTAGTGTTTTATACAAAATAAGATGACGCCAGACAACTTATGATGTAGGAAAAGTAACTGTGACTTGCGTGCTGGCTAATTGTTATGCCACTCTATTATACATCATAATTAAAATAATAAGACTTTTGTGGCTGTGACGGACATGTGACAAAATATGATGTCAATGTAAAATTGTAAGATCTTTTTGAGAGAAGTGCTTTGTTTAGTTCTGCCTTACACATTATGCTGAAACATGCTAAAATGTTTTACCTGGTGTGTTACCATACTCAGCATAAACCGTAATGCTACACAATCAATTTCTTTTTAAATAACAAGAGACAACTAGGGTTTAGGCATAAACATATGATAGTACAGAACTCAACAATAGTATGATGGGTTTAAAATGTGTATTTAAATTTGAATGATTTCATTATAATATGGGTACAATAATATTTTTAACAATTATTTAAATGTGTGCTTACCGTGCAGGGTTTACTCGTAATTCTTACCACTTTTCTATTTTATTATTCCCATTTACATGTCCAATTATTCGAAAACCTGTGTCACGGATGATGAATCTTGCCAATGACGATCCGTTCGACAGTTCCGTCATTCATAAATTATGAATCATAATAATTGATCAGTCTGTTTGTTCATAAGTCATAACTACAATTTTCTATTATATTATTTTACTGTTGTAATGAAAACTCATGTTACTATTGTAGCTAACAGCTGTTATCTTGCTAATAAATAAATTGAATTTCTTAAATTTCGTACTGCACCGATATTTAACGACGATTTACATAAATAAGTATGCGTTTTCAATCGCGTTTACTGCTCAGTACTCACCTCAGGGTATCTATCTGCTCACCCATTGACACAGCCCAAATGTACATGTCATATGAATTGCCTAAATATTACTCCTTAAAACACGCCCAGACCCCTTGGATGACTAGCGTTGTTTGGAGAAAAATAGGTACACCTATAGTACGCGTTCCAGCGTACTCACATGGGTTTTACTCCGATGATAATTTTGAAAGCATATTTTAATTTATAAATTATTATCAAGTCTATCATTAATACTTCGTCAGGGAGCGGGCTTAGCCTTACACTCTCGTTAGTCGTTTGCATGTGTCATATAGGTACGCCTAAAATTACTATCAAGGGTAAATGTTGTAAGCCAGGCCTAAACGAGTTCCAACGTGAGTTGTATACCGATAATAATTTTGAAAATAGATTTTATTTTGCTGTCGAATCAACTTTGAATCCTTAAAGCCACATTTTTAATTTATTATTCTTGATAAGAAAAAATCTCACTTGAAATGCAAAAAAACATCTCGTATTCTAAGAAATTTCCGGGGTAAAAAAAATAGTTGTAGATTTTTGTTATAATCTTAAATTGAAGGATTCAAAATAGACTTCATAGTAAATTCAAATATGTTTTCAAAATTAATATTCGAGTAAAACTCAAGTCAGAGCGTTTGAACACGCGTATAGGCATATATTCTGCTCCAAAAAGTAGTAATGTAGTGACTAGTGGAACCCCTTCAAGTATTTATATTCAATCATATTATTAAATTCACGATAGACATTGAAGATAGATTATTGCTGGTTAGCCCGGAAATCCTTTAAATCGAAAAATATCGAGAGGGCTCATCGATAGACACTTACAATCACCGCGGTAGATGCACCACTGCTCCTACAGTGTAGCAACGGAACAGTCAGTTTAATTAAATATTTACGTTTGGATTTTGGCTAGACTTTTGAGTTTTGGTACTTACAACGTACCTAATTTAAATTTAAATCCTGCCAACTTTTTATGTATATTACACATTTTTAGCTGTTTGTTATGGGTACCTAAGGTTATATGTACCGTACCTTGTACCTAGGTGGTTAGGTATATTATATTATTAAAATACTTTATAGAACTTTCACGGCGTTCCCTTGCTTCAAGCTCAGTTGAATTTTTGAGAAAATATATTATATAATAGTAAAATATTAATAATTTTAACCAAATATATAGTATATATATAAATAGAGAGTGACTTTTTGCACTAATAATTGGTAATAATTCATTAATCATCATTTTCAGGCCCTACAGTATTATATCTGTATGTTATATTATTATACTTATAATTACAATCGATTGAGATAAAATTACTTTCTTCCATTGATAATATTATATTAATTTTTTTAATGCACTTAATGAATTCCGTATCGCACATAATACATTTATAGGTACTGAATACGGTAACCGGTAGGTACCTTCATATAATATATTATATGCGTTCAACGTATAATATAATATAAGATGGTATAATTATTGTTTATGTACAAAGAAATATAATATAATATTAAACAAGACGTTTTTAATATCGGTTATAAATTTAAAAATATCAAACAAACTTCTACTATAGAAGTGAATAAATTTATATAAAACATTTAAAATTAAATTAAATACGACTCGTTTAAATTCACAAGTTTTTTAATAAATTATATAAAGGACAATAACGGGATTGACAATAATATGTCCCGTCCGCGCCAATAATATTGTCGATTGTCGTCCATATAAATAAATACCTATATATATTAATATATTATACTTAAATACTTAATAATCTATAAGCTTCATCCTCAAATGTTTATTGTTAATCTTTTGTCCTGTACAAACAAACAGTATTTAAATGGTACAATTATTCATTTAATATATTTTTTTACATTGAGGCAGAAGTATATAAGTTAAATTCATTTCATTCGTGGTTTTTATTTTTTTGAAATTGGTCTTTCAGATATTTTTTTTGCGGAATTATCATTATTATTCTTCCTCTTCCTCTTCCTCTTCCTCTTCCTCTTCTTCTTCTTCTTCTTCCTCTTCTTCCTCCTCTTCCTCTTCTTCTTCCTCCTCTTCTTCCTCTTCGACCTGTAAAAACAATCGCAATCGCAAAGAGTTAGTAAATAGCATTTATATACATCGTATATTCAACATCGTGGTGAATATCACGAGCATTTACTTCTTCCTCAGCTTCTTCGTCGTCAAGGAGGAACGGTTCTTCGTCTTCCTCGTTCTTCTTGAGTTCTTCCTCTTCGGGTGTGTCTGGGTCATCCTTCTTTTTGCCCGGACGTTCGCCGAACCATTTCGGTAGCCGTCCTGCAAACACGGCACGGAAGAAGTTTAATTAAAATGAACATATTATTTTATTTACACATAACACGCCCAAAGCAGAGGAACACAAACGTCTTTTTGGGTTTCGTAAAATTAATGGTTAAGACGGGTAAGGTAGGTAGGCATATATGTTCATAATATTAGGTAGTCGTGTAGGATATAAAATGGTAAAAACAAGACACTAAAAGATCGGTAATTCTAATAAATTCTCGACTGCTCGAAAATAAGTTGAGACATGAACTTTTTTATCAATTATAGTCTTTTGCGAATAGTTAATATACTACTCGCTGGTACAGAAGTACATATACATATTTAAATATTATAAGCGAGTATATCATGTTTTTGAAACGTCGAGAATCTACTGCAATAATATTGTTATGGTTTTACCTTGTCGTTGAAAGTAAACAGTAAATGTATATATGTTTGTTTTTACAAACATCATAGGTAAGCTATGGATTCTTGTAACACAGCTTAGAATTATTAATGGATCACGGATTGTGAAAAAATTCTTAACTGACATTTTCTCAAAAAATCTTTTCAACATAAATACCGACTAATTGAATGGCAAGATAAATATATAACTGGACATATATACAACATGTGAGTATATAATAATAAAATATATATAATATGCATATGGTAGGTATATCTGATAAGTGACAATTGTAGATATAATGATTTTGAGAAACCACTTAACACTTTAAATAAGCTGCATAAGTCTTTAGAATTGAAACGATGATTGTGAGTAATTTTATATAAATTTAATAACATGAATACTCGTAATCAAGATCAATCGATTACAGTCATTCTTAAGTAGCTATTACTTTTAGGACGAAATCTGAATAACTTTTAACTCGGAAATTAGAATAAACGAAATCAATAAATTCGACGATGAATCTCTATAAACAGACTTTATACATGACGCGGGTTCATTACTTACCCTTAGCGCGGCCTCCGAATTGGTCACTCTTTTCTGTCCATTGTTTTTCCATCGATTCTTTAGTGGTTTCCATATAACCCTAAAAAAAAATTCAAACAAAAAAATAGGAAAAGGTGTCATGCATGCGGGTACGAAAAATCAAAACATGGGTTTGGTCGAAACTAAATTTTATAAAATGTGGACATCTATAATCGGGTATATGATATTATAGGCTATAGCAAGGAGACGAAAGAGGATAGACAGATTTTAAAAAACTGATGATGGGCAATTATAATTTGGCATAGGTTTTTTTGGCCATGAGGGAAAAGCATGCCGAAAATCGCTACATGTTTACGTACTTCTACTTCTTTTCATGAATTGTTCGTATTTACGATTCCAGTTAGACTCGGACTTTTCGCCTATCATCTCTTCCAGACCCTATTTATTTCGTTAACATCTCTGTATAGATCTCTGTATACGTTTATATAATACGTGCACACTTACTCCTTCGAACAGCTTCTTTTTGTCGTCATAGGACCTCGTGTCCACTCGCCTCTCGTACTTGGAAGCGACTTGGATCTTGGGCTATGTAACGTATAAAAACATGTTAAGCCAACTCCAACCGAATAGTAAGATCATAAAAAATATGTATACAAAATATACACATTCATTATATGTTAAATGGCTCGCACTTACTGGGTATTTGCCGGTAAGGGCTTCAGGGTCAAGACCCTTCTTCAGAGCCTTGTGGCGGAGTTGTTGCTTCTGACGTTCTTTCAACTCTTTCAACTGAAACACAAGCATTAATTATTGTAAGATCATCATTAAAATACTAGACACCAACACAAAACGGACGCCAATTTCCGGAAGTTTTAAACATGGTTGCATAATATAATATTGCATAAGTAATATATTTACGTCGTAATCTTGTCTCTTCTGCCTTTCCTCCAAATCGTACTTTTCTGTTTCCAGCTTGATGATCTGGTCCCAGAGTTCAGTGGCTTTGAATTGGAGTTTTTGCACAGAGAAACCTTCGATGTTCAATGGTTTAATTCTGAAGCTCAACGATATTTTCTTTTCTTCTTCGATCTGTTCTCTGGTCTTGTTGCGTTCAAGTTGGGCAGATGTCATACTCAACGCCTATTATATAGTATGAAATACAAAACAAAACAAAATGAATGTAATTGCATTACAAATAAATTAAGCTACTCGACAACGATTGCATTGAACACTTACGCCTTCTTTTTTGCTGATGGTGAAGTTGGGTCCTTTCGATTTATTGGTTTGCTCCTTAAGGGCAGCCATCATAGCTTGACGTTTTTTCTCAGCCTCTTCCAGGCGTTTACGTTTTTCTTCGATGTCCTTCTGTTTCTTTTCTTCCACTTCTCTTTGTCTGCGCTCTTCTTCTTGCTTCTTTCTCTCGGCCATTCTCTTCTCTTCTTCCGCTCGCATCACCTTGCGCTTGGCCTGTTTTTCCTTCAACTTCTTTAAGTCGTCTTCTTCCTTTGACCGTTGTTTGCGCCATTCTTGAATGTACTCTTTAAGCTGTTCGTCTAAGGCTGAGGATTTTAATTCTTGCCTCTGGTTAAAATCAAAAATCATTGGTCAAGTACAAAAATAATTGAATACAGCCGAGTGTATTAATGTACATAGTCATGTTATTACAAAAAATGTTAACAGGAAATAGATCAATTACCTTAACGAATTCGGGATCTCCATCTCCACTAAAGTTTGCAAAAAGAAAAAAGTGAAAAAAAAATATTAATTTCGATATCAATACATTGTTTTTTTTTATGGGTTGATGACACCGTGATGTTATTTGCCCTGCGGGGGGCTTGTTATTTATAATGTGTGATTAATAAATGGGTCATTTGAATTTTGGCACCAGTTAACTGTAACAAGATATATTGTCAGAATAAAAATAATTTTTAGTAACGATGCCATGTGGCCTATCGCCAGGCAAAATGAATATAATATAGTAGACACGCAAAATTTATTGTTAAAAAAAATTTGCACACAAAATCAGTTTTATGTATGTTTATACTTCAAAAAACATTTTTAATTTGTTAAGAAAAACTTTGTTTTTTAATCGTTCTAAATCTAAATATACAAAACCTCTTAATATTATTATAGCTAATATTTTAGAATAAACATCTAACGTTTATAATTTCCAATAAACTAATAAAATTAATACCATTCTGTCTACATTCTAATATTTCTACTAAAACAATACTGCATAAACTAAAGGCTTATTGTATGGATTGTCTGCACTAAGCCTTTTCTACTTTCTACTTTAGAATCAACTCAGTACACATATTTTACTTTAACTCCCACTGCAGTAAACTTACTCTTTGCTTTTTTCAGGCTCCGGTTGCCTGCGCCAAAAATTGACGATTTAGACAAATTCCAAAAATATCACAAACATATAGAGTGTACATACGCCGATTTGTATTTATACATTGTACTTTCTTTCAGTACATAATACAGCTATTATTAATTTATGAACTCATATATTATTGTATTTCCAAATAAATATAACTTCTAAATACTTATAGATAATAATATAGTCAAAGTGCAACGTACAAAATATACAAAATGTTGTATAGTTTTTATATTATTATCATAATAATAAGGTATATTTATGATGGAATGTAAAAATAATTCCTGCCACATTACGTTGTACACTCTATTAATAAGGAATAAGCCAAATAAACAATTCGGGTGCTCAATACACAAAATCATTTGGCTTATAACGTATTTACAATTTTGAAAAGCGTGCAAAAATAAGCAAGTTGAAGCTAATGAAATAAAATCAAATGACTGAAAATCTAAATTAAAATTGCAAGTGAATTCCTTGGCAAACATGTATTAATAAATCGTTTGGACCGCTATAAATTTTAAGTTCTTGTCACTGAGTTAATTTCTAGCTCAACATTTATATATATGTACAATGCATTTGAAATTATTCTTCCAAACTCTCCACTTTCTACAGACATTTTTTTGATATCTCTAACATTTACATGTTTACTCGCTATTCCTTTTCAAATGCTTTTGCAGTAGCAATTTATAAGCGCAAAAAATAATTTAATATTTTGAAACTTACGTTTCCTCTTCGGAATCACTGAAACATATTATGTTCAATGTAAATTTTATAAAATGTATAATATAATATCTACCTAAGCACATTGATGAATGCCTAAAGTATTATAATTTCTATATTTAGGCCAGTTTACCTACTAACCAAAAATTGTAAAAAAAAGTTGCAAAAACTTTCGTACCTACTGATAATTTGTTGGTCTGAGAGCCAAAAATGAATTTGAATGTTTGAAATGTGTTCGCGAGAAGAATTTTATCAATTTGTCTAGTAAAAAGTATAGTTATCAGACATTATCGAGATTTTTAAAGTTATTGTTCACATGCGAGTTGATATAGATATATTATATAATACAGCAATATAGTTAAGATAAAACAAATTGTCCTCGGGTACTGGGAAATAGGTCGGTTTAAAAAAAAATTAAATACACTAAATAAAATCAACACAATTAGAATTTAATAGGAATAAAGTTGATACTACACAATATTTATAAATATCTTAATATTTTGTTAAAAATGAATATCATGCACAAGTCAATCTTTTTTTATATAAGATAAAATCGATTTACTCCCAAGTAAATTTCAAGAAGGTTGTGTTCACCGAGTAATTTAAAACATAAATAAAAATAAAAATACTGACGAATAAAACAATTAAGTCAACGAAGAACGTGAAAATATTACAATTAATTGTTTCGATTTGCAATAATGCATTGGAATAAAACTTGATCTAAACTCCGAAATAAAGTTTCATTTTATGCGTCTACTTATTATACATAAGTAGGTAATCATCATTCTATGTATAAAATTATTTCGGACATATTCGAGTAGACTATATAGGTATATACCTATATAACTTATAAGTAATAGTATATTCTAACAAACGTAGTCGAGCACGATGTAATATATCATATGAATTTAAACATAACCCAGATGAACTATATTAACGTGTTCGGAAATGTCCTTTATACCAACGTATTATTCCAAAACTAAATTTATAAATATCCAACCCATCCTATGGTATAATATATTATACATATTATCTGCGCCATATAGAAAGGTGATTTAATATTAAAAAATGACTTACGTGTACACTTCTTCTTCGTCAGACATGGTTAAGCGTGTCTCTAGGGCCTAGTCTCTGTAAACAAAAATGATCAAAATTATAAACTAACCGAAACGGGTAAATCGCGGTCACACGAAATGGGTAGGTATCTCGTTCACCCTGTCCGAAGCGGTTTTATTTGAAAATGGATTTCTTGCGGAGAAACGACCGGTAGACGTTAATTCTGAAAATATGTGGGAGGGATCGGCGGCGATGGATCCCGTTGATATTAATAGCTGCTGCCGGTTCGGGCTGCCAACATTGCCTTTTTACGACCCACAAAATCCTGAAGCGTCTATTTATATAAAGCGCGCATAGTACACCGGTGCGTATATAGTATTATGCGGAGAGACAAATCGTTCGGGATTTCGACAGTAATATAATATAGTAAAACCCATAATATTGTGGTCCATTATTGTATGGCCGGATGTATGAACCACCAATCACAAATCGATTTTCCTAAATCGTCGCCGGGAAATCTATTAAATTCTATACAGTATACAGAAACAAAAAATAAATAAATACCCATCAAATATAGATACCAGCAACAGATTACCCGAACCTCAAGAGGAATACCAGTAATAACGTTTTTTTTTTTTTTTGTTACATCTAACTATGGTCAACATCCCACATTAGGTTAGGTACCTATAGGTACTAGAGAAGACGCGAGCTTCATTATAATATCTGTTGGTTTAATTCAAGATAATTCCATCCGACAAATATAACTGGTATGTTAGGTAACTGTAACATAACTGAAATGTGCCGAGCGCCAATACAATACAATTTTTACCACTGTGTCAGCCATTGCACAATAATAGACATCTGGTTATAGTGCACAATATCCGTTGTTTTTTAAGTTGAAATAATGATATTTGTGTACATTCATGTCCTGAGAAAAAGATCTCAAATACATACTATATCCAACAATCCCAAGTCCCCGTATCTAAAGGTTTTCTGCATTTATGCGATTATGTCGGTCTGTATTCTGTAGTCTATTTAAGGTACGAGAATTTAAGACCATCTAATATAAAAAAGACATATGGTACCTAACATATTCAAAAAACGTCATTATCATGCGTGGACGAAACAGAAAAATTTCCACTACGGCTCTACTTGCTTCAGTTAGTACGAAACGTATATTATTATTCCAAGAACGGCACGTGGATCCGGATAAACGCACACTAGGTTATCGATTTAGTCGGAAAATTGTATGTTGATTTCTGCTCGTTGTCCACCGCCTATTATCAATCAAATCCAGAAAACGACGATGTTTGATTTAGGTAGACACCCATCATACAGTCACGAAATCTCGAGTTGTTTGTGAAAATATAACATAGCGAATTAGCAGGTGGGTAGATTTCATTATTAGGGGTCTGGCAGACGCGATTTCAAAAATACAGTAACGAAATGTATAGTACAATATTATTGTGTTAAAATTAATATTATATTATATGGATGGTGTACTTACAAAAAAGATAATATATGTATACCGCGACGGAGGTCCCACTAACGTCTGCGGACGACTGATCGCCGTTCGAGTTCGAGATCGGCGATTAAGCTCGTCCCCACCAAACCGGGGCTCGCGGACAGGAAATCTATCCGGGATATTTTTGGCATTTTCCAGTTGTATCGTATAAACACGTACACATACATATCATCAAGTTTTGCGTATGGAAAATGTGGTGGAAAAAAACGATAGTAATAATAGTATAATAACGAGAAGAAGACGAAAAAAACCATTTGATCCTAACTGACGGGTTGGCGGGGGGGATTTCAAAAGTGTGTCAAAAATATTAACGCACTCGCCTCTGCCCGCCGTAGGAATTTATTATTACGTTGGGAGTATATCTGTGGTTTTTTTTAGAATTCCCAGCGTACACGAACGTATTATTATCCGTCACCTCGAGTGCCATGAATCTTTGCCGACGACAGCGCCAGATGATCAATAATTAACACCTTAAATGACATTTTAATTTTTGATGTCATTCATCTTTTAGGCAGGTACATTGTACATGTATGGTACACTCTTAATGAGATAGGAAATTAGGAACCTGACATTAAAGGATCACAATTTATATGTATACATACATGTAATATGTTATATATATAATATAGAACAATCATAAATAAAAATCTAGTTATATTCAGAGTTCACAAATGACACAAATTTATACAATATATACAATATACAAAGCTTGGTGCATGCATTTAGTATTTGAAAAATGAGTACTATTTATTAACAAGCAAAATAGTAAACAATTCTGAATAACAAGTATATTTTTTTTGATTTTTAATAATAACATAATTTGATAAAATTAGAGAAATATTTAAACATGGATTTAGGTAATTTTCTACTATGTAATAGTTTGACAATAAGTATGCTTACATTTATTTTTTTACTAGGTAAGTATACCTATTATAGTAAACATAAATTAAATAATTAAAAGATTTGTACTATGTAGTCCCATTAATAAAAATCTTCAAAAGTTGTTTAAGCAAGTATGAATAAATCCTTAGTTTTAAAATGCCCTTCATCTTTACAGTTAAAAGTGTAAATTCATAAAATTATATAATTTATTGACTAATGTAATATAAGTAGTATTTTATCCAGCAATATAAGACACCTATACTATTATGGAATGAAGTAAGCATCAATGGTAGAAATGGATATCTTTGATCAAACCTTAAAACCATCCATCCAACCTCGGTCAACAACAACAATGGTCCAAGACTTATTAAATACAATTTTTCCAAACGATTCAATGATTTAAATTTACCAGTATTAAACAAAAATGAAACATTAACTAAAAGTAGTAGTGATTTAGTAATGAATTCAAATGGCTTAAACAACAATGGAAAAACAGAATATGTAGAGATAGTTGATAACATTGTAAACATGGAACAGTCATTTGTAGAGGTAAATACTAATAATCTGTAAAAAAATAAACATGTATCTAAGAATTTAATTTAAAAAAATATTCAATAGCTTACGTTAACGGTATGACAGCTAGCAATAATGCTTTTTCATGAACATGCCAACCAAACATAAATGAAGTCAAACCACATAATACAAGGCATCGAACAAAATCAATAGGGTTTCTATCGGATTTCCAAAGTTTAAATAAGCATGGCTGAAAAAAACAAATTAATATTTTAATAAATAAAAACATCATAATAATAATTAAATATAATGGTTATTAGTATTATATAATATAATGTTCTATAAATATATATAATATCTCTGAATAGTTTTGGGACTATTAATACATTTTCAAATAAAAACAAAAATAATGATGCATTTATATAAAAAAATTCTTTTATGCAGTCACATGATTAAAAAATATATAAATGTAATAAACTAATAAATGTACAAGACTCAAGTATAATAAAACAAATAGTAGGTGCATTGTCTAATAGAGGGATCAACAACTCCAAATGTGTTCTAGGTTAAAAAACATTTGACCAGGCCACAAAATAGATGAAAAGATAAAGAAATTTTCTAAACACCCTCTAACAGTGTTATTAGTTTATTATCTATTTATGAGGTCCAATTTAATTATTTAAATATTATTAACACCATTAAAACAAAGTCCATTATAATTTGCTATTCAAATATTAGAAATTTGATAGTTCCATCTATTTCAACTGAAAAAAGTTTATTTTATAATTTTAAAACAAACGATAAAGTAATTCAAGACTTACCAACATAAAAATTATAGTTAAAATAAAAGTAATCTGAGGAGTAATTGATGGCAAAACAGTGTGTTCAAATTCTTGAACTAAGCCTCTCGTCATTGATGCTGAATTATTATTTTTTATTAGATCATAGTCTTTATCTGAAAAAATTCTTTATCAGAAAACGAATAAAGAAATTAAATTAAATAAAGGAAGAATAAAAATCCATAAATACATGTAATTTTAGCACCAATATCAGCTGCATTATATAAGGCCCAAAAGTTTGGTGCCCAATAGGCATGTGATAAACCTCGTTTGAATGGGAAAAGCTGCTTAAAAACCTAAGAAAAAAATTTAATTAGTAAGATTTAGAAGTTAAATTCTAATAAATAGTACCTGTACAATTTGACCATTGAACACAAAAGGTCCAAATGATAAACTAGATACACCGAGAACAATTAAACCTAATTTTATAAGTCTTTTCATAGCAAATTGTATATTTTTTCTAAAACAAAAATGTTTTAATAAATATACAAAATATGCTGGAGCCAAATATAAATAAATATGCTTGAAATTCAACAGAACCGTAAACCAAAATGCACCTCGATAGTTTTCACCCTAGAAAAAGCAACTAAATTAGCAAAAAGAACATCAATTATTAAAAATATATTGAAACTATAATTTAAAAGTAATAATTTTTACCTTTAAAATGTGTGATATTGATACAAGTAGGATACCGAAAAGAAAGCCATTGTACTGAAAGTGTATTTGGTCAATAAGCAATAATGTTACATTGGCTATTAACAAGAGTTCAATGACAAAAACAGAAATTTTACTTTCGTCCATTTGTTTTTTCTTTTTAGTCTTTGGTGCTTTCACAAGTAATGCAATTGACTGAGCGCATCTAAAAATAATATTTTATTTGTTAAAAAACGTTCATACTGATCATATTATAAAATATATCAGATGGATTTTAAAATGTTTTCATCACGTTATTCTAATACATATTAGTAGTTAGAACACTTAGAAACTATTAAAGGATTTTTGCCCGATATTTATTTTCTCTCTAAGACTTACGAGAAACATAGATTTCACACTTTCACATAGAACAGTTTTTTTTATGATTTTTGAGTAACCATTAAGTAAAATCACCTGTTACAAAAATTGTAGAGTATATGTTTGATGCTATGCCATATTGGTTTAATATTTTATTATTATTAAACTTTGGATTTGACTTTCAAAATAAAAAAATTAATTTGTAAATTTAAATGGTGTTTAAATTGTTTTGAGACAATATTTAGATGAAATCTCTATCATTTTTAATGAGTGATTTTATCCTAAGATTACTTAAAAACATTTGTTAATTTTACGTGGAATCGCATCACACAGAGAGAAAATAAACAGTGCTCTGACATTCTCTTAAATAATTTTATAAGAAATGTTATTATTTACATTTTCAAAATTGATACATAACTGAGAATTTTTACTCTTAATGCCAGTGTATTTAACTGACATTATATGGGCAATTATTACATTTAATACACCAAGTTAGGGCAATTAATGTGAGAATTAGTTATTATGAGTAAAAATGTAAAAATATAAGTAGTAAGAATACAATAATTAATATTTATAAAAAGATTAAAGAAAAACAAATTATTAAGGGCAATAAAATCTTCAATAAGAAATTTTAAAATAAAACATTATCTTTCATGGTTTATAGGTACGGAAGTACTAGCAGTACCATAAGTATTGAATAATAATGTAATATTCTGTATTATATTTATTCTGTGTAAGTGCAGTATAAAAAAAGTGTAACTTAAATTCAAACATTAAAAAAAAAAAAAATAGTAGACTTGGAAAAACTGATTTAAAACAGGCAAAGAAGGCGAACTATGTTTGCATAATATTCAAGCAGAATTCCTCATTTCAGATTATTTATTAACAGTTTTATGTTTAAATGACTACTAATTATTAAATATTGTGTATTCAATATTCATCTCAGACCTGTGGTTTAACTAAATAATACCAAAACATACAAGTGTATAATAGTCAACAACATACAACATTGTTATTCAATTTGAATAATATTTACTTTCGAGATCCGTAATAAAACACAAAATCAGTAATGATGACACTAAGTCGCTGAAAGAATACGGTGGCGTTTGAAGAGTAATTACGATTGTGTATCGACAACATGTCAATATCGACAAAGGCAGCAATTTGAGCCAAGAAGTATTCAAACCACGCAAAAAGTGGCGGATAGTCGATGGTCCATTCCGAATGGTTAGCTGAATACCACTGCGATATAGGCAGACTGTACGTTGTAGCCAGCCAGTTGCGATGCACCTCAAAATCGGTTGAAAAACTGTCAAAACAGAATGAGATAACAATTATTTAGTGAGCACGATTGTAAATACAGTGGGTTAATGTGATCACTTTGGTGCAGGTTATTTTGATTCTATTAACTGGTTGATTCTATAAAACATTTACAACATTTTTTTCATGATTCATCTTTTTATACAATTACATATTTATTTATAATTACACATTTAATGTAACATACATAATAAATGACACAAGAACACGACGCACAAAGATAATTGAATAACATAATAACGTACAGCGATATACTGTCGTACTAATAAGTTCAAAAATAAAATGGGTTTTATAAATTAGTCAGTTTGAAATACCATAAAAACGTTAAGATGGTTCATACAAGTGATTCAATTATCCAGTACTTAGTGATTCTAATAAAAAGTCAATTTAACATAAGTAACATACAATTTGGTTTGGGATTTTCATTTTTGATTCTAATAAACCAGTGATCACATTAAGCGGAACTCACTGTATTACAGACAAAAATTATACAACTGTAAAGACTTAAGACAGCGAATACAATGACGATCCGATTTCGGACCTTCACTCACTAGGATGGCAACAGGAGCAACTTCACGCACGTTATGACAACGTGCAGGGAACTCGTCATTTTCGATTTGAAAAGACTAGGTCAAGACGTCGATGAGCAATCCATGGTCAGCTTAAAATTCAAATCTAAACGTCAGACGGATTGTATTCAATTTGAAAAATAATAAAAATGATGATGACATTAACGTTCCCGAGCTTGGTCAGAAAACATCTTCAAAAACGACGGCGTGAAACCATTTCAGAGCCACGACGATATTATTATTATATATATTAAAATTATACGATTGCCCACAACAGTGAACAGACAGCTGCAGTAGCCAGTAATAATTATTATGATTTGTTGTAATGCATTTATGTATCGAGTACCTGGTAAGTACCTACGAATAGCCACGAAACGTCATCGTTCAGACGGCAATAAAACGTTACCGGTATGACGATTAACGATGAATTAAAAAAATTGTTAACTGTTATCACTCGTCCGCTTATCAAAAGTCTACACAGCGTCAGCGTATATAAAATTTATTCAAGTAATAATTAATATTTTTAATTTTTTTAAAACGTCGAAACATTTGGGTTCTATTACTATTGTATACAAATACAATGTACTGGGTTCTAGCACGATTGAAAATTAAAATATCTGTAAATCTTCGATACAAACACAGAATACAGATAATGTTCCTAACTTTAAATATGATAATACGCCAAATGTAATTTAAAGTACATAATGTGCGTAATAAAATAAAGCTAAGAACAAAAAGATGGTTGATCTCAAATGTGCTGTGGCCTATGGGTCAATGAGAGAAAACAGAGTTTGTGACATCCTCTTCAGCTTTTTTTTAATTGTTTAATTGGATCATATAACAATCATATTAATATACAATATTGTATAAAACTAGATTATGATCAATGGTTGGAGGCGTTGGAGCTTTGTATTAGTGTTTTTATATTTTTATTCAATAGGTATGACATTTATAAGTCGATGGCCATAAAACTTTCAGATTTAAATATTAAAATATTTAATAATAGTACCTATTTTATATGTATAATATTAATTAAGTATTCATCAATGTAACAGCCCAGAGCAATAAGCTGTTTTTAAATCCCTGAAGAGAAAATAAAGAATAAATATGTTATCATAAGACATTAACTACATCACTTTACTCAGAAAAATAAGAAGATTTATACTCAAAACATACAAGTACTATATACTACTAAATATATACTAGTATTATATGGTAAATAATAATAAATTATGCTTGTCATCATTACATTAGGTGTGTACATAATAATGAATTGAGGCATGTTGCATGAACATTAGTTATAATCATCTATCAAATTTTGAGTTTGAAATGGAAAAAAATGTTTATGTATATATAAAATTTATAATTACCATTTTGGGGCTTTCAAATAAAATTCTTAATTTAATAATGCTTCATATATTTAGTATGAATAACAATACTTAAAAATTATTTTTTCAATACCCAATAATAATAATTAGTAACTATAAAATAAATCAACTTTTATGTATTTTAAAATTCAGTACAAGTTAATTAATAATTACTGTATAATATAAAATGTATTACACCTATTTATTAAAATTAACTTCGTATAACAATACTTGAGCTTTTAAACTAGAATAATATTGAAAATATCAGTCAGGGTTAATATTATATATTTATATATCATTACAACAATATTAAAATGTGCAATAAAAAATAACAATCATTAATACCTAAATTATTCATATGAATTTATTAAGGATTCAAGTGTTATAACGTCATTGATGGGAATAAACCTCATACGTGCAAAATGTATGATTTCGAAGTTTTTTATTATTATTTTTTATTTTTGGGTATCCCACGATTCAAAAAATAAAATAAACTATTAATGGATAAAATTTCCTATATGCTACTCCATCATAGAAAAATCCTCCAATATGTTACCAACTATAAATTGTTTTTGAAATGTGATTTTTTTATTTAAAACGTTTTTTGTGTTTTCTGAAAACTACACTTTTTTACATAGGAGGTTTGTTCCCGTCAACCATAAACTAGTTCCATTTATCAAAAATGATCATACATTTTAATAACACGAAATAAAGTAGAAAGAATTATAATATTATAGTATAATAATTAATTAGCTAGCACGTGTACAAATTTACTTTGTATACATAAATACTATACAGAGATTATTATAATTATAAAATGTTCGGCTCACCAAAAACAACTGCTATATAATAATTTGATAATACGTTGTTTAACAATTTTAAAATCATTACTGTAAGTTATGTTATATTAGTTACAGGCATGTAGGCACTAGTTGCTAAGTAACAATGATGTTTAAACATTAAAGTATTTAACTGTAGAATAATGTTACAGTTATATAATTGTTATCAATATGTATTACTATAAATTATAATAAAATATTGAACCTACAGAAATAAAATGTGATTCCATAATGTTCTAGATTCTAATTTGGTCACAATTCATGTTCCATAAAAATAAATCAATGATTCAAAAATAAAGTTTTTGTTAAAAGGTTAGTATAAGATAAAATAAAAGATAATATTAATTTTTAGTACACTGGATTTGAGAGACAATCAAAGTTAATCACATTGATTCAGAATATTTTTCAATATTTCATCATAAAACGGGGTGAATACTTTTCTGTTATATGTGATAAGATGCAAAAAACTGCCAGTAACGGCTGCTAATTCATCTTTGAATGCAGACAAACCAAGTGGGCATTGCTGGGGAACTGCATTGTCAGAACTGATGACCGCAGTAATAAACTCCTTGAAACGCTTCTCTGAAATAAGAACCAGATGTGATAAAAAATGAAAACACTATTATTTATATTTATTTTTGAATCAAAATAATGATATTACCAACTAGAGTTCTTATTTTATTATCAGGATTTTGGATTAACAAAACTTGAGTTTCAAGTGTATTGACAATATCTGGTGAAACTGGTGGTCCATCTGGATTAATTGTACATAAATGCTTATTACAGTAAGCAACTATCTGTTCTATAATGTTTGGTAAAACATTTCTACAAAGAGAAAAATTGATGAGTATAATACATTACTATTTATAAATTAGCACAGTCAATATTATAATAAATACTTGTTGGAATCGTTATCTTTAAGGATGACTAAAATAATATTTTTTAAATAATTTTTGAATTTCATGTCATTGGGAATAATGGAATTAGTTGTTGATATTGTCACAATAAATGTAGATGCTGCGAGTATCAAAATATTCAGCATTTTATTTGTCGCCAAATACCGATCTTTATCCAATGATAAAGCCTGAAAATAATAACCAGCTATTTTATAAACATTGCCTTGATAATGCATATGGTAGTAACCTTATTACCTCTGGGAATATAACATCTTCATTCCAATCAAATATTTCCATATAAGCTCTGGCAACTATATCATGGTAAGGTTCTGTAGTCTTTTCAAAATTAACATGGCGTTTTAACCATTCAGCAGTCAAGTTTAATGCATCTGTTAATCACTTTTAATTAGTAAATAAACATTATTCAGATTTCAGTTGTAAATTATAAAAAAAAATTGGGATTTACCTGGTTTAACTTTTAAATACTCGGCAAATTTGTCTCGTTCATAATCAGCACTACAGGCATTTAATGCTCGCCGTTGGGCAGTTATTGTGAAATTTGCCATGTCAAGTTTCATCAAGCTCAAAGTCTACAAATAAATACCATTGGCATACAAAATATATTTTTAAATTTTTCTAGTATCAATACTTAAAATAATAACTCTTATTGTAAATAACAGGCTACTGAAGCACTACAATATATTTAATTTATGAAAAAGGTATTGAAAACTAAACATAATGTTTTTATAACAATATGATTTAGTTAAAAAGATTAATAGTTGCAACCTTGTGTACAAATAGTACATGCTAATTTTAAATTAGAAAAACAAATATAATATAAAAATGTCCAATAAAGTACTCATTCAACTGCTTAACAAAGATTTATTTTAGTTTTTAGAAAAATGTAGTATACACTTTGAGTTTCTAATAATTTGTCAAAAATAAATAAATTACTTACTAGTTATAAGTATTGAGTAAATACTAAATTGTGTTTAAACATAATATAATTGATTTTAATACATACATAGGTACTTTGCAAATAAACTTATTCTATTATTTGTTCTTAACACCATTGGTCATTTGATTGAATGTTCTGTGGTGAATAGTCTAACTGCCTTCACCTTTATGTCATGAGATCGATTTTTCTGTTTTCTTAACAATTTTATAAGTTAATTATTTTTTACTGTTACTTGTTAACAAAATTCTGTATATTGTAATTGCTACCCATACGGCAGACTAAAAAGCAGACTTACAACAACTGTTTTCACCACATAACCACTCGATCAGAGGACCTTCATCAAAAATTTAAATAAATTACATAGGATTAAAGTGCTACAAGGCTAAGCTGTGAGTTTAAAACACAATTTAAACAACAAATTTATGAAATAAGCCATAGCGAATTAAATTAACCTTTTCAAAACTGATATTGCCATACACAACAATTTTATGTTGAAGTTTTAAAATACCTAATTATTTATTTGCAATAACTTCAAAATAATATGTAAGAATTGAATAAGAAAATTTACCTTCTAATGTTATACATCTTCTATCTTCATACATATTATAACAATTTCCACCTATTTTTTTTTTTAGATTATAGTATTGAGCAATCAACATAGTAGGAAATTTGTCAATGACAATTTTTTGTAGGTTGTATATTGTATTTAAAAGATTATAATCAACAACAGTAATACAGCACTAATGTTGATCAAAATTATTTTGAAATTCATTTAAAATTATAATTTTTAGTCTTATAAAACTGTTTTACTAATATCAATATTTTACCTCATCATTAATTCTGTGGTAGAATAGAACATTTAAATTAGTTATTCAGACTATCATATAGGCACTTCAAACATATTACTAATTACATTAATTATTGTAATTATTATTATGATATTAATACTATTGAAATTATTAATCAAAACTAAATAAAATAATATCAGGACAAGTCAATATTATTTTATCAGTTGTGAATATTAAAGCAATTATTCTAATCTTAATTTAGCAATTTACCTCTATTATCCCTTTAAATATATCAACAGGATCATTTAATAGTGTAAGAGCTCGTATTGAATCGTCTCTTACGGGAGCGCATATTTTTGACATCAAATTCAGTATAAACTTGGTGTAATACTATTAAAACAAAGTAAATAAATAAGTTAAGACAATCAATATTTACAATTTTATTGCTTATGTTATTTTATAATTACTTCGAAATCCAAAGAATCATTGTCTATCTGATTTTTTATAGACTCTACATCTAAAACTTGAGCAATGTCCTCTTTCAATTTAGTGTGTTGGTCTAACAACAAACTTGATAAGCTCTATAATAATTTTATTAAAATTGAAATTAATGAAGTTACTAAATTATTAAAATACTAATACTAAACAACAATTTTTACATACTACTTGAATTTCTGATAAAAGTATCATAGCTTGAGAGTATTCAGGAGGATCACTGTTTAATTGTTCACGCAACAACTCCCAAAATGCTTTGTGCATTGTGTCTTGGACTTGTTTCATTAAACTAACAGAGTATAACACGTTTACAAAATATATTAGGTAACTAAATATTTAAGAAACACAGATTTTATGTTAATAATACCATTTCTAATGTTCAATTAAATTAGTTTTACCTGTTATTAGGATGTTCTTGAGGCTCCAATTTAAAATTTTCATTGACTGCTATCTCGTGAACAAGAGCAATATCTTCCAATTTTTTAGCAGCTACCATAATTTCAGGTAATGACAAGAACCTCGGAGGTGATGCAGCAGTTATATTATTTAACCTGAGAATTATAATACAACATATATAAAATAATCTACATCAAAAATACTATTATAATATATTATAACTATTACATTTCTTGACGAGCTCCGGGAATCGGTCTATTCGGTGTTGATTTATTGTCTGGATCATTATTGGATGTACCTTCTGAACTCATTTTAAAGAAGATTATAATAAAATCTAATAAGTGCAAAAAATAGAAAAAAATATTTTTAAATAAATGTATATTTTCCAAAAATGTTTTAGTAAATTAAATAATTGTACAAATTAATCAACCTAGAACTTTTCAAAGTGAACGAATAACCTTATCGACAGAATATATTTTAAATTAACCGTATCTATGCATATAGTTTGGACCGTGGTGTTTTTCAGATTATTAGAGATATTGTTCAACACTATAAGTACTATTTAAGAGATCTTAAATAGTGACCATAAACTCCAATATATTATGATAATGAATAATGGCCCAATACACATTTTTGTAAATTGTATGCTTGGACCTTAACTTATTTATTCAATGGTTAGTACAACAATGTATGTGGACAATTTTGATAACATACATTTTTTATTCTGGACATTTTCAATGAGACTTTTTCATTGGCCTCAGGGAACTATTTTAAGCATTTTTCTATGTTAACTAGATAAGGTATAACTATATAAGATATTCAATTATAGATAATAATGGTACAATAAGTGTCAATTACAAATGTTAACCAATCAAATACCACACATAATGGAAAGAAGAATAGACATTTTATTTTTATTTTTTGGTAAGCATTAATCATAATACACCATCACATACATAAGTATACAATAGACATAAAAAAATCAACAATCAGATCCAACATCAAATATGAAGAAAATAAACTAAAATATATTTAAAAAACAAACAAAATAATAAAATTACTACTTTTGATTTTTGTTATTACTATATGGGAGCTATTTATAAAGTTAAGTATATTATTTGTTATGATTAATCAATATACAGAGTACTTACATAGTTGGTAAATTAAATTCAAAAAGTTAAAAATAAAAATAATAAAACGGTAAAAAATATCTACTAGTTTTATAAAAGAGATATTATGAACAGAAAATTAATAAAATGAAACTTGAGTGTCACACAACTGAACGGAAATATGTACAAGGTACACCTAGAATCAAATGTGATCGTTTCAGCCGTCATAAAGGAATTGACAAAGGTCCGGAAATCAATGAATCAGGTCTCTCAAGTTTCGATACGACGATGATATTATTATAATTTATAAGTAAATATACCTTTTACGGTCATCGGCCTTGCGACGAACATTTCAAGAACGCTGGATATGCGGAAATCTACTACATCAGCTACCACCCCGCGTATTTTTACCGAAACCATTAAAATTAACAATTATACCGTAACGATATAACAAATTTGGTGCACAAAAGCTCGGCATTGTGACTTAAGATTTTTTTGTTTGGGACTCGGGTTTATAAATACTGTATCAAGTGTTAATAGTGGATAATTCCGAACCAAATTTCTTGGTCATCAATCGATGGCGTCTTCGCAAAAACTTCATAAATGTACATGATGGCGATAAGATTAAGCGCTAAGACTCACCTTCTAGGCAGTTAATTTTCTGGAAAACTATCTGTCGTGGAATTGAAGTCGAACGACAAATATTTCAAGAGTACTGTATAAAATAATTAAAATAATGAAATTTAATGAAATTTTTCCCAATTTTTGTTACTATAATACTGTGAAAATAGGATCTTTAACTAACAAGTCGGAACCTATAATTTATAATTTATAAACATTGATTATCGTGTTTTTACAATTTTACCTTATATAATATTATAATGTAATACCTCTAAACCTCTTCTATGCCTTATAATATAGAAGTTCACGACAATAATGTTTTTGTTGTTGTTGTATACAGCTACAGCTGTTAATACAATAAATAATAATATTATTGTTATTATGTATTCACCATGATTGAATGATTCACGAACGATTCTCATTTATTTTATCTGGTTATCTTAATCTGTGGTTGATACCAAAAGATAGATTACCAAAGTCAATGATTGATATCAATCCGCCATGAAAATATCACATGTTCGTAGAACAGTGTTGCCAGCCATAGTTTGATAATATTATTAAGTAACACCATTGATGATAACACTTAACGCTATGATTGACCGCTTGTACGTACTATGTTAAGATCACGGCCTGTGAACTGTACTTTACCAACCCCTCACGATTTTTAAATCACGAATTAAGAATAGTGAATAACTAATAAGTATAATATATTAATAATTTTAAGAGATCTTAATTCGTGGTTAAAATATTATTATTATTTATTTTAATTAAGCAATTTAAAAGATATTAAAGTTAATAAATGATAATTGTTATAGGTACCTAGGTAATAATTAACATGCCCTATTAATTACTACTTATGTACCTAGCATGGTTTCAAATATCTTAACATTCTTAACTATATCTTAAAGGTCCCTACTTCCTATAGTGTGCCTATCATATGACATTTTTTATTTAGGTTATAACTTATAACAATTTAAATATTTATATCCTTTTTTGTATCATTTTTTCAAGTACCTAGTCAGTAAGACGGGTAGGTATAGATACTGTAGGTATATCATATGCGTACCTACATAGTGTTTGGGACATGTTTCCGAATTTTTATATAAGTAGTTGATTCACAGCTGAATTCTGAACACATACAGTAGAACTTCGATTAACCGTCACTGTCGGGACCGGGGCTATGACGGTTAATCGAATAGACGATTAACGGAAATTTTGCAAAAAAAATACGTGTGCATATGTGTACACACATTTATTATATTTTTTACGTGTGTGTACTTTAAAAAAAAAATTACTTACATATAACATATAAATTAATTATTATAACACATATAAATTATAAACATACATATCACACATATTATAAAAAAAAATCTGTAATTTTAGTTTGGTTTTTTGATTCTCTATCTTTTTTATCAGCAATATTACGTATTTGACGTAGAAGTAAGACTTGCGTAGCATTTGACAATCGTCTAATCGCCTAATTATTTATTTTTTTCGGCGATGACCGGTGACGGATAACAGAGAGTGACGGTTAATCGAAGTTCTACTGTAATTAATAAATATTATACAATTCCATACTCATATAGACATATCTATTACCTACAAACTACAGTCATAGGTATAATGTTTTGATTATTTAGTTGTTTTCCCACTGCTGTGTCGCAATTCAATGTGCATAATATGCTACTTTAATAACAACATGCAAGGTATAACTTGTATCGAGGATTAACATACAAACATGGATCTAGAAATCTGAAATCTGATAGCAGTGACAGTGATTTAATTGAGAGAGAAGCGAGAGGGACAGAGTTCCTCTTCTTTTCAAAAAATATTTATTCACGTACCCCTTCTAACTAAATTATTCTATTCAAAAATAAATTTAAATATTCAGGTCAGCACATTTTTTTACACTTTTGCATAATATACTGCAACTTTTGCACATTCTTCTAATTTTTTCCCAACTCAAGCACTGTGCAGATTGGGGAGGGGAGGTGCATTTTTTAAGAAAAAAAATATAAATACATATTTTTGGCAGATTTAATTATTATATGTCAATGTCATGAACATAAATATATGTCATAAATACATAATATACATATAACATGTCCAAATGGTTGGACATTAAAAAACCCATTAAGCCCCCTGGAACTAAGAGGTAAATAAATACAAATTATAAATACGTATTGAGCTCAGTACATCGTTAATGAGCATCTAGAATCCTATACATATATTATATTACACTATACATTACCTACTTATAGCCATATATGTACCTATAAGTGTATGATGTTAATGCATAATAACACCGCCAGTGCAGCTGGCGACCGCCTAAAATATAAGAAAAAGAAATTTTTTTTGCTTACAACCTGCAGGCATCGTGTTGCGGGAACAAAAGAATATTGAAGAATATTATAATATTATAAACGAGAGAAGGACTTGACTATAATATACCGTCCGTTAACGTACAATTGCACGATGACGACGACGACGACGACAATTTGCTTCATTGTGCTTAAACATTATTACATTAAATACACTATATAGAGTCTGTGTATACACCTATACTTTGTGCTCGTATCTCTAAAAATTATGGTTTGAAAACGTTTCTTTGGTGGGGAGGGGAGATCGAATCCTCCAAAATCACCATATTTTGCTTGCTTTCTATACACAGTGTATTATGTTATAACATATAATATATATATATATATATATATGTTGAGGTTACCTACCTAACCTAACCTATGCGGCCTGTCCTTATTTGTGCACTACGATAATGCTCTAGAGTCTAGTTAGTATTCTTCTCTGGTCTCCAGATATATCCAATTATTACTTAAATAAAATTATGTGGTCATGTACAGCAGTGTCTAAATGTGTCTTTGTAGTTTTATTAATTATTGGGTGACCCTGCAGCATTGCTGATATTACTTTATGGGGTAGTTAATACTTAATAATTAATTCGTGAAATCGGCTGCGGTTAATTATGTGACCTACCTTTGATGAGTGACGTATATGTCACTATACTATACATGGCCGGCCGGGTACGTCAAATTTTAATTACCTTCATAATAATCAAGACCGGATCAACAATAGGGTTTAAAGAGGCTATAGCCCAGGGCGCAGTATTATAAGAACGTTAAAATGAGGGAACTAGTTTTTTTCAGTTATAGGTACCTGCAGGTACCTATCTAAATAAATAGTCACAGTATAAAATTGTACCATTAAGAATTTTGAATAGTGCAATATTAATTCTGAATCAAATTAAGATTCTTATTGAAAAGTAAGGGAGCTATAAAAAACAAAACTCTGGTTAAAACCCTCAATCCAACTCTTGTATAAATATTAATGATATTACTTATGTCTTGGTTATTACCGAGTCATTATAACTGTTAGGTATGTATAATATGTACAAGACGATGTTTGTAATGTTTTTGGAGTGTGTTTAATTTGTACCTTATTTGCTTATTGTACTTAAAGGGATATTTGATATTTCTACAATAATATAATGCACAAAACCAAAATTAAGATAATTAAAATTCTTGAAATGATACTAGCCGCAATTGTTACAGGCTCTATAAGCTGATCAGTAAAGTTTTACTGCTCATTGATCACACTATCACATTGATAAAATATAATGTCCTATATAATTAATATAAATATTGAAAATATTCTTTGATTAAACTTTAGGGTTATATTATAACTTATAAGTAACTGCTTATTTTGATTATTATTCCCTATACTTCCTATACCCATTGACCCGACTCTGATAATGTTACCTGGTAACATTTTTCTGGTATATAGAGTGTGAACTACCAATTTGTTATGTCAGTCATTATTATATAATTTTCATTTAGATAAGTAAAATGTATGAATTTTTATTTTGTCTTAAATCATAATATTATATTGATAGGTACCTACATTCTTTTTGTACAATATATTTATGGATTCTGTTTAAAATGTTTTTATGAGTATATGAGATGAAGTTTGAAGAAGTAGAACAATTTTAGCAATGCTCCTTTACATATTTTATAAAATTATTTTTTTTTTAAATATAATTTTTTTCCAATTAATTTTTACAGTTTGTAAAAATAAGTTAAAATTTCTATACTCTTATTGATATTATTAAAAATATATAAAGCGTATGGTAGGCAGTAGGCTATTGGGTTCCACACAATACCAAAAAAACCACTATAATACTTTGGTAGCCAGTATTTGGTCACACACTTAACCGTCTTAACCACGCACCCATATAAATCTATTGATTATATATAGGTAATATAGGTACACAAGAAATAAGGAGGTTGAAAACAGACGGATGAAAGAGCCTATACAGTTTCAAATAACATTCTGTGGTTACATCCTCGACTGATGCAGCTAAATACGATACTATTATATAACTAGACAATATTGAAGTAAGTATAATAGCATAGTGTGAAGGATCAAAATCAGATCAAAATGAGTACCGGATGAGATATTCATACAAGATATGAATAGGTACTTTTTATTATTCAGTCATCACTCATCAGTAGTTAACGGTGGGTCTATATATTAACTATTGTTAATTAGGTGGTTCTTAGGTTTACAGCTTTAAATTATGGTGTATATTTTTTATGAAATAAAACTAGATAGGAAGGTACTTATCTAAAACCATTTTTTGATAAGAACAAACACTAATTAATTAGTAAATACTCGTTAGTTATAATAGTAATTATGTTGGGTGTACCTAGTGATCTACAACTTGTTCAAATTTAATCTTTATTCCAATATTTCTTCTAATAATTGTTCTTAAAAGAATAGTTTTTAGTTTTTTCTAAAATGTGTGTAAGTTAACCGCAATATATTATTACCTGTAAGTTTTTTTTTTTGTAAAATGAATAATGTATTAATTTGTCGTGCTTCAGTGCATGATGTAGAGTATGCGATATCTTTGAATATCTTACTTGTGAATATTATTATTTAATTTTTTTTAGTTGTGAACAATTATAAATAACATAAATAACGTCTCCCCGCCGATTCAAGCCTGCCTCCGCACTATTATTGTTGGATTTATTATTTTACTGCCTACTGCCCTCTCGAAACGTTAGGTCCAATTGCGTCTGTGTCCAGCAGACATAGGATTTTATTCTGATTCTGATACCCATAAAAAAACAACTTATGAAATATGTGTTAGGGTGTAGACATAGGGAATAAGTAATAGTGCGTGCGTGTCTATAATATATACGCCTATATATTATAGTGAAATATTTCGTATAATATATGATATAAATTATCATTGATAATATTATTTTTTAATATGTTATTATTGTGCACAAGATCAACTCTATAATAATATAATACCCATGTATATTATATGTCTCGCATGCGCGCGTGCGCGTGACAAACCCGTAAAAAATATTTTTATCGGTCCGAAATTAGTCATTATCC